TGGCAGAAAATGGGGATTTGGGGGGGAAAATGGCAGAAAATGGGGATTTGGGGGGGAAAATGGCAGAAAATGGGGATTTTGGGGGAAAATGACGGAAAATGGGGATTTTGGGGGGGAAAAGGCGGAAAATGGGAATTTTGGGAGGAAAATGGCGGAAAATGGGGATTTTGGGGGCAAAATGGCGGAAAATGGGAATTTTGGGGTTTGGAGGGGGAAAATGGGGATTTTGGGGGGGAAAATGGCGGAAAATGGGGATTTTGGGTTGGAGGGGGAAAATGGGGATTTTGGGGGAAATGGGATTTGGGGATTTGGGGATTGGAGGGTGGAAAGCGGCTCGAGAAAATGGGAAATTTGGGAGAATCGGCCTGGAAAAAATTGGGAAATTTGGGAGAATTAGCACAAAATAATTGGGAAATTTGGGGTTTTGGAGGGAAAAAATCGGCCTGAAGAAATGGGGAATTTGGGAAAATCGGCCTGGAAAAAATTGGGAAATTTGGGAGAATTAGCACAAAATAAATGGGAAATTTGGGAGAATCAGCCCGAAAAAAATGGGAATTTGGGGGTTTGGAGGGAAAAAATCGGCCCCAAAAAATGATAAATTTGGGGTTTTGGAGGGAAAAAATCTGCCCAAAAAAATTGGGAAATTTGGGAGAATCAGCCCGAAAAAATGGGAAATTTGGGGTTTTGGAGGTAAAAAATCATCCCGAAAAAAATGGAAAATTTGGGGTTTTAGACCTAAAACCTCACCTCATAAAAATGGAAAATTCTGGATTTTGGAACGGGAATTTTGGGGGGTTTTTTTGGAATTTCTGGAGTTTTTTAATCATTTTTGATGGCGTGGTGGCAAATCATGAATAAAACATGAGGATGAGGAGGAGACGAGTGCGTGGATGAATTTGGGGTGAAAAATGGGGATTTTGGGAAAAAATGGGGATTTGGATAAAAAAATGGGGATTTTGGGGTTTGGAATGGGAATTTTTGGGGGAAAAAAACGGGGGAAAAATTTTAAAAAATGAAAAAAAATCCAAGGAAATGCAGGTGCTGGAGGAACTTTTTATTAATTTGAGACATTTTGGGGACATTTGGGGATTTTGGGGACATTTGGGGACATTTTGGGATTTAGGAAAATTTGGGAATTTGGGGACATTTGGGGACATTTTGGGGACGATTTTGGGATTTGGGGACGGATTTTGGGGTCAATTTTTGGGATTTTGGGGTTGGATTTTGGGGCCATTTTCTGGGATTTCAGGCTGGTTTTGGGGTCAGATTTTGGGGTCAAATTTTGGGATTTTGGGGCTGGATTTTGGGGCCATTATTTGGAATTTGGGGGCTGGAATTTGATGTCAGTTTATGGAGTTTGGGGCTGGGTTTTGGGGCCATTATTTGCAATTTTGGGACCATTTTTGGGATTTGGGGCTGGATTTTGAGGCCATTCTTTGGGATTTTGGGGTCATTCTTTGAGATTTTGGGGTAATTATTTGGGATTTTGGGGCTGGAATTTGCGGTCGTTCTTCGGGATTTGGGCCTGGGATTTGGGGCTGGAATCTGTGGTCAAATTTTGGGATTTGAGGCTGGAATTTGGGGCAATTCCACGGGATTCACGGCTGGATTTTGGGGCCATTCTTTGGGATTTGGGGCTGGATCTTGGGGCCATTTTCCAGGATTCAGGGCTGGAATTTGGGGCCATTTTTTTGGGATTTGGGGCTGGATTTTGGGGCCATTCTTCGGGATTCGGGGCTGGAATTTGGGGCCATTCTTCGGGATTCGGGGCTGGATTTTGGGGCCATTCTCTGGGATTTTGGGGCTGGATTTTGGGCCCGTTTTTGGGGATTTTGGCGCTCAGAGCACGCCGCGCTCGGCGCGGGCGCGGCCGAGCTTCATCCCGCGGATGATGAGGACGGTGCCCGCGGCGATGCCCACGATGCCCACGGCCAGCCCCAGGGCGGAGTTTGGGGCAAATTCAGGGGATTTTGGGGCTGGGTTTGGGGCTGGGTTTTGGGGTCATTCTTTGGGATTTGGGGCTGGTTTTCAGGAAACATTTTGGGGTCATTGTGAGGGATTTTGGGGCTGGATTTCAGGAAACATTTTGGGGTCATTTTGAGGGATTTTGGGGCTGCATTTCAGGAAACATTTTGGGGTCATTTTGCAAGGTTTTGCACACATTTATCAGAGACGTTTAGCACAGGATTTGGGGCTGGGTTTTGGGGGAAAATTTTGGGATTTTGGGGCTGGAATTTGGGGGCCATTTTTTGGGATTTTGGGGCTGGATTTTGGGGCCATTATTTGGGATTTGGAACTGGAATTTGGGGCGATTCCACGGGATTTTGGGGCTGGATTTTGGGGCCGTTCTTTGGGATTTTGGGGCTGGAATTTGGGGCAATTCCACGGGATTCGCGGCTGGATCTTGGGGCCATTCTTTGGGATTTGGGGCTGGAATTTGGGGCCATTTTCCGGGATTTTGGGGCTGGATTTTGGGACCATTTTCCAGGATTCCTGGCTGGAATTTGGGGCCATTTTTTGGGACTTGGGGCTGGATTTTGGGGCCGTTCTTTGGGATTTTGGGGCTGGAAATTGGGGCAATTCCACGGGATTCGCGGCTGGAATTTGGGGCCATTCTTTGGGATTTTGGGGCTGGATTTTGGGGCCATTCTTTGGGATTTGGGTCTGGAATTTGGGGCAATTCCACGGGATTTTGGGGCTGGATTTTGGCGCCATTTTGTGGGATTCGCGGCTGGATTTTGGGGCCGTTCTTTGGGATTTTGGGGCTGGAATTTGGGGGCCATTTTTTGGGATTTTGGGGCTGGATTTTGGGGCCATTCTTTGGGATTTTGGTGTCAATTTTTGGGATTTTGGGGCTGGATTTTGGGGCCGTTGTTTGGGATTTTGGGGCTGGAATTTGGGGGCCATTTTTTGGGATTTTGGGGCTGGAATTTGGGGCCATTTTTTGGGACTTGGGGCTGGATTTTGGGGCCATTTTGGGGGATTCGGGGCTGGAATTTGGGGCCATTCTTTGGGATTTGGAACTGGAATTTCGGGCCATTCTTTGGGATTTTGGGGCCATTCTTTGGGATTCGGGGCTGGAATTTGGGACCATTCTTTGGGATTTTGGGGCTGGATTTTGGGGCCATTTTCTGGGATTCGGGGCTGGATTTTGGGGCCATTCTTTGGGATTCGGGGCTGGAATTTGGGGCCATTCTCTGGGATTTTGGGGCTGGATTTTGGGCCCGTTTTTGGGGATTTTGGGGCTGGATTTTGGGGCAATTCCACGGGATTTTGGGGCTGGATTTTGGGGCCATTTTGGGGGATTCGGGGCTGGATTTTGGGGCCATTTTGGGGGATTCGGGGCTGGAATTTGGGGCCATTTTTTGGGATTTTGGGGCCATTTTTTGGGATTTTGGGGCTGGAATTTGGGGCCATTTTGGGGGATTTGGGGCTGGATTTTGGGGCCGTTCTTTGGGATTTGGAACTGGAATTTGGGGCCATTCTTTGGGATTTTGGGGCTGGAATTTGGGGCCATTCTTTGGGATTTTGGGGATGGATTTTGGGGCCATTTTCCAGGATTCAGGGCTGGAATTTGGGGCCATTTTTTTGGGATTTGGGGCTGGATTTTGGGGCCATTCTTTGGGACTTGGGGCTGGATTTTGGGGCCATTCTTTGGGACTTGGGGCTGGATTTTGGGGCCATTCTTTGGGATTTTGGGGCTGGAATTTGGGGCAATTCCACGGGATTTTGGGGCTGGAATTTGGGGCAATTCCA